GACAAATACAATACTGTAGTTAAACATAAACTACTAAAAAATAAAGGGAAAGCAGCATTTTTCTTATGCATAGTAAAGTTTCAAAGCTGTATTAAGTCAATGTTCAGTTGCAAATTTTTGAAAGAACCACCATAATGTTTTGTTCAGAGTTATGAACAACCTCCATTCCCAAGGTGTTAGTAACTCTGAGGTTCTACTGTAATGACTTGTCTATGTGGATCAGTAATTGTTTATTACAGGGATGCAATTTCTGAAGTGCACTAATGTGTTGTGCATTAATTGTCCTGTGTAGACCCTGTTGGTGCACACTGAAGGTACATCTACACTGCACACTTCTTTTGGCAGTGTGTAGAGTACATCCACTACATGCTACCCTGGCACAGGTATAAATAGCTGTATAGATGGTGAGGCACTACATAAGCAAGGGAAGGCATGCCTGAACCCTGTGGCTATGTTCCCTACACGGCACTCTTTTACCCAAGCATTGCCTCCATCGTCATCACTGCTATTTTAGCAGTGCCTCCCCCACTGCTGGAGCCTTTCCCCACCAGAGCCTTTCACTGATGTGTAGCTACATGCCACAGTGTGGACACAGCCTGCGTTTCAGTACAGCGGGTAGCAACACATTCACAACACACTACCGCAAGTGATGTGCAGTCTAGACATAGCCTAAATGTTCCTTAGTGCACTTTAATGTAGTGCTGTTTGAAATAGTGCTACATTAAAGGGCGCTATGGAACGTTTACAAAGGGATTACTCATACTAGTATATTCTAGTGTAGTAAGTAATGTATATAATTTACATTATTCAATACAGTATATACAAAGAGAGAGCCCCAAAAAACCGCAATTTTTGGACATCTTCATAAAACTCAATAATTGCTAAAAATAAACTCCCCAAAATAAAATTATTAAACCCTGAAAAACAGAAGCCCTATGATAAATCTTTAACTAAATGATCACATATTACTTTTCCCATTAGGATTCTTCCTCATTCAGTGCACAGGATGGACGATGCTCAGTGCATGAATCAGTGTTGCATATAATCCTTTGTCTGATTTTAAAAAAGCAAAACCAAATTCTTTTACTTGGAATTGTGGCAACTTGAAATCTGCATTCACTTGAACATAAAGCTGTGACAAAAATTTATGGAAAGTAATTGCTCTAGTGAATATACTCAATTATTTTTCAAATGTACTGCTAATAAGTGTGTGACCTGAGGCAGGCTACCAAGCTAGCTGAAGAGGTGGGAGTAAAAACTATTTCTCCATACTCATAGTGCCAATCTCTCTCCACAGGATCAAAGTGACTCTTTACATGGACTATTTTATTCAGTTGTTTTACTGTGCATGTTATTCTGTCACACTTAAAGCAAGCTCTCTTGGCTGCATATCTCTATTGTGGCAGCCTAATTTTTCTTATTTCATTCACTGTACATGCCTCAGCACTAATACTGCACCATACATCTGGATAACTGTAAGCATCTTTTTCCCAGGGTGGCACTTTACACCTGGTTTGTGTTTTATAGTGACCTACCTTCTGTTTTAGTGACTTCTAACCCTCATTACAGCACATTTATTTGTTATCAGCTTAGGGGCTTGACCAGTAAACCAGAAGACAATAATAGTGCTCTCCTTTGACATTATTGCACCTTTCAGCACTTCCTTAAAGGAAGAAATAAAACCACTTAGGCCCAAATCCTCTGCACAGCCCAAGTAACTTATCTCAGTACTGATGATCTCCTGTGAGAAAAAGTGGATGGAATCCTGCACCCCAGGCAACAAAGCTGCTTTGGGGGTGGAAGTCCACAGAAAATGGACTAAAAGACTTGAATAGCAGTGGATTCTCCTGCCTCCACTTTCACCCACTGCAGCCTCGAATATCCCCAGAGTGACAGGGCAAATGAGCTCCTATGGTGAAGTCCAGTTAAACCAGTATCACTGTCACCATGGAGAGTTTTACCTGTGTCCATGGAGTCAGGATTTGCCCCCAAAACCAAAAAAAAAACCAACAAAAACCTACATAATTCTCATTGTCTTATGAAATCTCTTTGTGACCCATGCCTTGATGGGATTTGGTTTGTATTAGGAGTAAAGGCAGTTTCGGGGTTTTTTTGTTTTGATTTTTTTGCTTGCAGTAGGTAATGTTTCTTAATTACTCATTATTTAGCAGATATTGACAGATCCTTCTAATTCTCCCTATTCTGCCTCTTTCATCAAAACAGAGAGATGAAAGCAATGACCTGTATTGTCGGACATGTAACCAGTTTTTCAGCTCTTTTCATAACAAGAAAGAACACCTTATGGGAAAGCAACACTTACAGAATTTAACAGGTAGTGTTAAAATGATTTTCAATTGTATGCTAATCAAGCTAGTTTGCAATTCAAACGGACTATCAACTGGTAATGGTACTAATATAAGATGGTTCACAAATCTAGTGTATTAAATAGCTGGCTGTTAGAGCACATAGCATTTTCATAATTATAATCGGTGTCCCATTATAAGACTGATTTTTCTCAAATATATACTTTGTAACTGAAAAAGAAAAATCATCATGCTTTCACATTTTTTATTGACTGGAATTGTTTTTTAATAATTAAGTGTATTTAGAAATTAAAAACTTAGACTAATTTTTCTTAATAATTTTGTGAGTTAATATTTTGTATCCTCTGCTTTTCCCTCTAGCAGCCCAGTGATCTCACAAAATTCTAATTCATAGGAACTTCAGCTTGTGCATCAGGCAGCTTTCAAGGAAAGGAATAATAAAATGTTCAAGAAATTGCTATTTCTAAAACTAGGCACAAAACTCCATTCTGTGATGGCCCTTGTCATAGATGAGATATTTCAATGACAAAAGCACGGAGACTCGGATTTTTGCTTGTGATGGAGCGTGCTTTACTCATCTAGGATTTTCACCACCCTTTCAAACGTACCAAGTGATCTGTTTCATTTTCTCGGACACAATTTTCTTACGATTTCAGTACTAGTCGGAGAACTGGGATTTTGGTTTCCTACAATTGATAGCTTGGCAAGTACTTCCACTCCTTCTGTTTGATATGACCTAGTCTTTCCACCTTTAAAAAATTGGGAAAATAAAATAAAAGATTTAAAAAAATGAGTAGGCAGTTCCAAAAAACCAAAACCACTTTGATTTTAAAAGGATAAGGGTGCTAAGTGTGAACAGGACACTTGCCTATCATATCACTTTCAAAACCCAGGCATTTCCTTATGAATGTATTTGCTTTTATTTGTTTGTCTGCTTCACATTGTAAATCTTAAGGAGCCACATAATGAATGCATTATTCTTATTGAGAAAAGGAAATGCATATGGCATCGCAACAAAACCTTAACTCTGATAATAATGCTATTGGTTCTACAGTAATTAAAAAAAAAATCACAAAACCCTCTAGGGAAAAATAAGTAGTGACATACGTACACATTAGTGGTTGGGAGGGATAGCTCAGTGGTTTAGCATTGGCCTGCTAAACCCAGGCTTGTGAGTTCAATCCTTAAGGGGACCATTTAGGAATCTGGGGCAATAATCTGTCTGGAGATTGGTCCTGCTTTGAGCAGGGGGTTGGACTAGATGACCTCCTGAGGTCCCTTCCAGCCCTGCTATTCTATTCTAAGTCCATATACATATATTTGTACAAAATCAACAATATTGTACTATTTTACTATTAAAATACATGTATAGCAGTATTTCCAAAACAGACCAATTATAATTATTATACAAAAAAATTTCTACTGCCAATTGATAAATATATTTAACTGATACTTGCGAGTTTATACTAGAAGATGACCTCTGAAAGTGTGTTTTGAACTTCAGTGCCTATAAAGCTCACTGATTTCAGAGGTACCCTGGAGAGATCTGACTGCAGCATGTACAGCCATGCTCTTGAGTATGGGGTCTGAAATCCAGTCTATTAGATAGTTTAGGTGGGTTGTCTGATGATAACGTGCTGAAAGGCCAGCTATTCTGCAGAAGCTTTATGTTGGAATCTTCTCTTTTTTCCATGATTTAACAAAATGTAAATTACTGGCTCAATTTGACTTCATAAGGTCCCTTTTACACATCAAAGTTTTGCTAGTCTAATAAATGTTATATAATATCAGGTTATTTCTGTGTATAAAAAAAAAAAGTATAATCACCAATAAAGGGAGCGAGGGGAATACATCACCAATAAAATATCAACAGCTACCAGAACATTGTATTTAGAATAGTTCACTATTTTTCCCTGTTCTGTGTGTAAGGAAATGTAGAGTGCTGTCGCATGGTAACCGTTGGTATGTGGTGACTGTTTAGTGCTCACCACTGTACCATCTAAAAGTTTTACTTCATATAAAAACTTCAACTACAGTCAGGCAAATCTTGGTTATTCCACAAATGTGGAATACAGCAACGTCTTTGATTTAAGAAGAATTAGTTAATTTTTGGAACCTGTTAAATTGTTTTATTTATTTTAATTTTTTTTTGTCCAGGAGAGTTTGAAAAAGAAACTGCTGAGTTCTCTAAACATCAGAAACTGCAAGAAGAAAAGGAGGAAAAAGATGAGTCAGAAGAAGAAATTGACTCTACAGATCTGTTTCAGTTTGGGGGCCTGACCTCCCAGAAGAACTTTGCGTCATCTGATTTTTGTTTTTTGCAGGCGTTTATCTTCAGACTTCTGAAATGTAAGTTGTATATTCTGTAAAGTAAGTTGCAGAGAGAAGTCTTTTTTTGATACTAAATGTCATCAAACTGGAGCCAGAGGTGATCCCCATCACTAGGACAATATTATTCGAGACCCATTACCTCAGAACAGCCTCAGCCTCAGAAGAAATCGGTATCCAGTTCTTCAAAGTCTGGAGTGTGGAACTCCTCTACAGAAGGTCAGTCCTGTACTTTTGCCTCGCTGCTTCCTAGTATTGGCTCATACAAACAGACCTAAGCTGTCAATTCAGTCCCTTCCCAGTGACTGTTGAGACTGCTACCTTGTTGGCTGCAACAGAGTGGTTATCCCTGATTCCTGCAGATCAGCAGCCTACATCTGTTCCAACTATGCCAGAGGCTATGCTGTGGCTGTCAGTACTGCCTTCACCTTTGCTTCAGGCTGAGGACCCTCATCTAGGCTAGGTGCAGTTCCCCATTGGCACTGGAACACTCTAGTCAGGCTCCATCGCCTTTGGGCCTGGTACCAACTCTTTACATCTTCTGGGCTGATACCAGCTCCTCCATGCCACACTTTACTGGTGGCTAGGAAGCCATCCATTCTTCCTCCAGTATTGCGTCCTTGACATGGATCCAGACCTTGGTCACCGTGGACCCCTCCTGGTTCCTGGAATACTCTGATTCCTCATCAGACTCCAAGGTAGACTCTTGGGTATCCTGATACTGAGAGTCTAGAGCTTCCTCACATTCCCATTCCTGCACTCACTGACAGGGTTCTGAGAGGACCTTAGCCAGGGATTGGGATGCTTGGGACAGATGTGCCTAGGGCCCAGTCCTCTACAGTGCCCTCAGTGCCTCTACTGGATGCCCAGGGGGATGCCTCCAGGTTCCAGATCTACTTCACCACTTCCCAATACAAGTAGGTCTTCCAGGAGGGGGCCTTCTCCTGCCAGTACTGGGAGACCAGTCACGGTTCATATCAGTGAGCCTTTGGACCTCAAGCTCAAGACTTCTTTCAGCCCATTCCAGAACAGTATAACCCATTTTGGGCCAAAAGAGCAACCTTGGGAGCTTTCACCCTTGCCGGTCATGCAGGCATCCTGCTCATCACCTGATGAGGTCCTGGTACCAGAAAGATCCTCCCAGGTACTGGATGACTGTAAGATACATCAGGAGCTCCTCAAGAAGATGGCAGCCTCCCTGGGCATTCACACTGTTTGATTGATATTCTCCATGCCACCGCACCAGGAAGGTTGTCCTGCCCATAAGTTAGGCCATTATGCAGCCGTCCAAAACCATCTGGTAAATCCCTGCCTCCATTCCAGTTGTAGTCAAAAGAACAGAACATAAATATCAGGTTATATTCCAGGGGTTCAAACAGTTCTGTTTATATCCCTCACCAGATTCACTTGTTGTGACTGTGGTGAGTGAGAGGAGCCATCAGGGCAGAGATGAGGCTACCCTCAAGGACAAAGATGCCAAAAAGCTTGGTAGAAAAATGTATTCTACAGCAAGTTTATAATTTCACATTACCAGCCATGACACTGTGTTGTCACAGTGTAATTTTTCAAAATGGGAGGCAATATCTCAGGTTGCTGGCAGACTACCGAAAGACTCCAGTCACTCATTGCAGAGGGACGCCTCATTTCTCGATCAGTTCTACGGCTTCTTTAAATGCAGCAGATTTTACAGCTAGGGCCATGGCAACAGTGGTGACTGTGCACAGATCCTCCTGGCTGCAGTCCTCCAGGATTCCTGGGGAGATGCAACAAACAATTGATGACTTTCCTTTCAAGGGATGTGCTCTGTTCTCATCTAAAACAGATAAGGCTTTGCATACACTAGTGGACTCAAATAGTATTGAAATCCTTGGGCCTCTATATGGTGATGACAGAGGAGACAAGATATCGTCTTCAATACCAACCCAAACAGTAATACTATCCTTTTTTGTTAGGTTGACCAAGGTCACAGAGCGGAAAAATGATGCCTTCTACTTCCTTGCACTCTTCAGCTTGGCAGCCACAGGCCCCAAATTAGTCATTTTTACTCTTATGTCTCAGATGGCATGCTATTTGACCTGGATCTCATTGGTCTGTCCCCATCTTTCTGGGGCAGGTTGTCCTTTTTCCTACATGCCTGGCAGGCCATCACCTCAGACAAGAGGGGGCTAAGCATGGTGAAATTGAGATATACCCTCCAGTTCCTTTCTATCACCACCCATAATCCTCTGCATAAGGACAAGTAGAGTTTCCGCAGAGCATTGGCTGTTTTCCTGGATAGGACAAAACCCTTTTGGGCGTCTGCCCTGCTCTGCATTTCTTATGCAGAACGTCTGAGAGGTCATCTGGTTACAACTGAGAGTCTCTCATAATGGATCACCAACTGCATTACAAAGTGTTATGCTGTCAAAGTGTAATGCCTCCTGACAAACTTATGATGCGTTCGACCAAGCATGTTTGACCTCAGCAGCATTTGTGGCTAACATCCCAATTATGGATCACTGTAGAGCAGTGATACAGTGTTAGACTCAGACGTTCACCAGGCATTATGCAATGTCTGCTGTATCCCAGGAGGATACAGATATAGGGAAGGCAGTCCTACAGTCCCTGTTACGCTGAGACTCCGAGCCCCACCCCTAGGGTAACAGCTTGGCAGTGACCTACAGTGTGGATACATGCAGGCACTCAAAGAAGAACAAACAGTTGTCTTCTTGTAACTGTTCTTTGAGATGTGTTGCATACGTCAATTACACAACTCACCCTCCTTCCCTGACGCATCAGAGTCTACCATTGGTTCTGGTGCAAAGGAACTGAAGTAGGGGAGGAGCAACTTTGCCCCTTTATACCCTCACTTTGGAGCACAAGGAACAGAGTGGGTGGGGCCGCCCCTATGCATACAACTAGGTAAAACTCTCATGCACCGGTGTATGCAATGCACACACACTACAGCGTAATGGAACACATCTCGAAGAACAAGTTACAAAAAGATGAGTAACCATATTTTATCTTTATTTCAATACCTTGATAGTCATCTGGCATTCTGTGACTGTATAGTAGTTCACCTTTGCTGTCATATATCTTTGCTATGTAGTGACCTCTAACTTTGAAATTGACCCTTAGTGGGCAACTTTGGTGTAGGTAGGGTTAGCTGTAATTTCAGTTCTGTTTCTTTTCAAAGGTATGTAGAAAATATTACAAACTGAATTGAAAATTATTTTTTAACAGTTAGAGAGTTTGAACTTTGTGAACTAAAAAGAAGTTTGACAAAGGCATATGAAGAACAGGAAAGTTTAAAAAAGCAGTTGGAGGATCTAAAGGTAAATAATCCGATGTCTGAACATCAAGCATGCACACAGACATTAAGGTTTCTGTTCCTTTTGTAATCCTACTCTACCTATATGAATTTTCTGGTGAGTCTTTCTGTACTCTGAAAACATTTGAGATCTGGTGTAAATTGGCACAGTTCCATTCAATTCAGTGAAGCGACAGCAGTTTAAACTAGCTGAGGCTCTGTCCCTTTGTTATTTTATATCACTCTTGTTATTCATCTCTGAATTCTTTGAGGTATGTAATGTCCAGAACTGAACTGGTGAGGCCCAAGTACAGCAGAATAACCACTCCATTTGTCTTGCAGGTAATACTCCTGTTAATGCATTCCAAGGGCCTGATCCTGCGGACAGGCATATGGACTTTTACCCCCACATGGAGTCCTGCTGATTTCAGTGGGACACTTGAGAATGAGGCTTTGTGTGTCCATGTCAATTTGAGTGTTGAGGCCCAATATGGCATTTGATTGTTTGTGACCAGCATTAAATTTAGCCGGATTCAGACCTGTTGTCAGCAGGTCAACTCCACTGAAGCAAGGAGTTCCTCATTTACACCAGGTCTCTCTTTGGCCTTTCTTTTCATGATCCACTTTAATTCTCAGGTCTTTCTTTGCTGCTCTTTTTCTATCGCTTCCTACCCAATTGTCTCTCATTTTACCACTATGTTCATTACTACTCAACTTCTTGAATTTCGAATAATTTGTACTTCAGTTTTAATCAACTGGCTCAGTGTGATGTCTGGTTTCTCTCATTCATATGCATGTTCTTGCATTTGCAAATCTCAACCCCTTTGTAGTGAAAAAATAATTTGTCCTCCCCCTATCAGATTCCACTTTTGTACAAATGAGAAATGATGAAATTACCAGAATAACACTTGGGAATAGAACCAAAAGTTAAATAACTTTTTCATTACCATGCTGAATTTATCTGATTAGTTCCACTTTGGCAAATGGGTTCTGTGGGCCAAATGCTCAAATCTGGGAATAAAAATGAAATTTATTTTCTAATTTTTTTTATGTACTGCAAGATGACTGTGTTATGTTCTTAAGCTAAAACACCTTTTGTGCAATTTTAGAATCAGCAGTTGAAGTTGGAAACGGATTTTGCATCCATAAAGGCATATAGCGGTACTTTAGAAAAAGAGTTTGAAAATTTAAATATGGTTCCAATGCTCTTCCAGTTTCATCTGCAAATAGTGGACACTAGTAAATCAATTGTTTTTTCCTGTGGTTGATCTTTTGTTTCACTATTGTTCAACAGATACCATTAAAATCTTCTTCTGAGATAGTTTCTGTGAATATGATCATGGGACTTCTGGGTCATCGACAGCATGTCAACACTACAATATAACACCCGCAGCTGGCCCACATCAGCTGACTTAGGCTACAGGGCTGTTTAATTGTGGTGTAAATATTTGGGCTTGGGCTCTAGGACCCCATGAGGGGGAAGGTTTTTTAATTGCAGTATAGACACCCTGACTCCAGTCCCTTGCTGTCACAGGCAACCACATTCCATTCATAAGCTTGTCAGGTTTTCTCTTATATTTAGTTAGGTTGTTTTCCCCCATTACTTCTGTTGAAAGGCTGTACCTGAACTTTACTGCTCTGATGGTTAGAAAACTTCTAATTTCCCGCCTACATGTACTAGTCATGTACTGTTTGTTCTTCTGCCAACATTGTTCTTGAGATTAAATACCCTCCCTGGTGTTTACGCCCCTGATTTATTTATAGAGAGCAATCATATTCCCTCTCAGCCTTCATCTTGCTAGCCAAGAGCTTTTAGTCTCCTCTCGTAAGATGGGCTTTCATTCACCTGATCATCCTAGTAGCCCTTCTCTGCACCTGTTCCAGTTTGAATTCACTTTCTTGAACATGGTTGACCAAAATTATACATAGTGTTCCAAATGAGATCTTACAAGTGCCTTTCTCAATAACATTAATACTTTCCTATCTCTACTGGAAATATCTCGCCTGATATATCCTAGGATCACATTTGCCTCTTTCATGCTGGCATCATTTTGCTGGCTCATAGTCATCCTGTGGTCAACTAATATACCCAGGACTTTCTCCTCCTCTATTTCCAACTGATGAGTCCCCAGCACATAGCTGAAATTCTTATTAATTCCTAAGTGCATGACCTTGCACTTCGTACTATAAAATTTCATCTTACTTCTATAACTCCAGTCCTCCAGGTCATTCAGTTCCTCCTGTATAATATTCCAGCTTTTATACATTTAATCTGTGCCATGTTAATTTTATATTATTCTTGTATTTTAATCAAAATGTTATGCGATGCCAAGTCAAACGTGTTATAGAAGTCTAAGTATATTACGTTAACACTTACCTTTAGCAACCAATTGTGTAATCTCTTCAAAAAGATTATCAAGCTAGTTTGACAAGATCTGTTTTCCGTAAACCCAGGTTGATTTGCATTAATTACCATTTTTTATTAACTGAGTCCTGCATCAACTGCTCCTTTATCTTACCCAGGATCAATATCAGGCTGACAGGCCTATATTTACCCAGGTCATCCCATTTACTTGGGAAGTTAGTCTCCTGTAATGACACAGTTTCCAGTAATATTTATAGCTCTAATAATAATAAAGAGATCTCTATCCATATGCAAACCAAGCCCTAAGAATCTGCTATAGAACTACTACAATCCTTCACCAAAGTTATTTTGATCCAAAACAATTCTGTTTTACCCATGCAATCACTTCTTATTTCTTTACAGTTTACCACGTTATTGATACACAATGCAACTCCACCACCCTCACTTTTACTTCTTTCTCTCCTGAACAGCACATACCCTTCAATACCTGAATAACAGTCACGATTGCTATTCCATCATGTTTCTATTCTTTCAATATCTGGTGTCACGTCCTGTACTGGGTGTTCTAATTCCTCCATTTTGTTGTCCAGGTTCCTTACATTATTGGACAAGCATCATTCTCTCTGACCTCACCCTGTTGCTAGCCAGATTAGTTATAGTCCTTTTGCTTCCCATGGTCCTATGCTCAAGTGTTCTGAATTAAAGCTGGAATAGTTACCACAAGGAAACGAAAATGTAAAGCCCTTCTGGACTGGATCCCACCATATCTTACTGAGCTTTTGACTGTCACAGTTACCAGGCAACTGCATCTCTGACCCCTCCTGATTTCTTCTTGGATACCCCCTCCCTAAGTCCCAGGCCTCGAGCCATCACCTCTCTCTTGCGGTGGGATCATGTGATGGTTGCACAACCATGGTTTCCCTCCACATGTCTGACTTATGTCAACACCCTGCAATTCTGTTCCCTCTGAGACAGTGACAGTGGTAAGCAGTGACCCAAAAGCCACCTTAAAGCAAAGCATCATTTATTTAGAACAAAAGTAGTTAAGAGAAGACCATCTTAAAAACAATAGGACACACTACACACATCTAGCTTACCAGGTGTTTAACCATATTCTAACTGGGGACTCTTCCATAGAGCCTCTCTCTGTCAATTTGTCTCCCTGTAGAATTCACTGACTCTCTCTGGAGAGCCTTGGCAACTCAACGGCCCCTTCACAGGAATCAAATAACTTTTTAACTGTTTGTAGCCCATTTGATTCCTAGCCTGGCAAAACAGCTGTGTCACTTCAACCTAGAGACTTGAAGTATGCCCTTGTCTCATAAGTATGCCCTTGTCTCATCATAATTGCCCCTGATGTTTGCTGCAAGATTGCTTATCTGGAACCATTGTGTACTGCCTTTTTGCTTTTTCTTCCCACAGCCCCCTATTAAGCTAAATCAGTGCATTCATACAGGAAAGTTTTATAACCTCAGTGTACAGTAACTTCCCCTCACTGACCAGTGTTCATAACATTATTGCATATCCACATCTATCACACTGACATTCTGTGTACCAGCTCACATTAGTAAGTGTACATCTTTAAGGTATGTTGGCATATAAAGTTTCTGCCTTTATTTTTGCCTCTGCTGCTCTGAGGTTCTTGATATCCTGCACAAATATCACAATATTAGTCTTTTCCTCCTTTCAAGAACAAGGGTCTTGATTTTTTTCTTTTCCAAAGGCTTTTGTGCACATTTTAATATTTTGGTGTTTATTTCTGAGTGTTATGAAACACCTAGAAAACTGCTAGATAGACACCATATAGACGCAAAATTATATAAATGTGTTCATGTAATAATGAGATCCACAGCTGTACATTAACTATTTCAGTGATAGAGCGCAATATCCTTTAAATCTGGCATTCTAGAATTTGAGATGTCTTTGTTGAGGACAAATAAAGAATGCAGATTGACCTAGAGAGAACAGAAGTGCCCAAAACTGAGTAGCATAGAAGTATGGATAGAAAGTTAGGAAACAAGGTTCATCTTGGAAAAATTAATCCTCCTGGAAAAAAATTATCCAACCATTATATGCTTAATGGGGGACAGATCCTTGAAAAGCAGTAATGCTAGAAAAAGATCTAAAGGTGATAATGCACAGCAATGCAATATAACAGCAAAACAGCCAGTCTGTGTATTGGGTTGCATATACGCAGTGGTATCATGTATCAAGGAGATGATAGTTGCTCTCTCTGCACCAGTGGTGAGA